CCCCTCGCGTCCCAGAGGAGAAGACAAACTGGTGGAGGCCGGCGGCCCCCGCACTACTATCAATTGATGGGGAATGTAAATACACTAGCAGGGTGAGGGGAAAGGGGGGGGGGAGTAAGCCGGCAGGCAAACCAAAGAACCCATACCCCCCCCCTCCCCGAGGGGGTGTAAGCCCCAGCAGCGATGGTGGTAGTGTGGTGGTGAGGGAGTGTTGCCAATGTTGATTGGGGGGTGGGGGTGGAGGGGCGCTGGGGAGCTTTGATCGTATGGTTGAAGTCGGCGGGGCCACACCCAATGGTCGATGAGTGGGAAACGCACCCATATACTGGGTAGAGGCAGAGAAGAGAGTTCCCGCGAGTTCTGATGTCGGCAAATGCCGGACGGCTGTAGAAGTGTTATAGTAGCACCGGGGGCGAACCGTTGGTCCTTGGCCGTAGAGAGTGCCGCGACGAACAATCCGCAGGATATGCGTCCCTGCGAGCTGTGTCCAATCGGCCTATCAGGCTTATGAGGGGTTATATACAGCAGTTCACGTCTCGTCTGTCGAGCGAGAGAGAAGTTATACTCGCTGCGATGTCCCCCCCCCCCTGGCAACGTTTTAGCTCAGAGTAGCTACATAGGTAGGTATTATGGCAGAACTACAAGGAACTCCATAATTTTAAGGTGCGTGGATTACTTTAATCCAATTGTTTCAATAGAGATTGCTGGCCTATGCCATCTTCAAAGTTTGGGTTGTTTTTTTCCATAAAGACCGCCGTTACCAACTCACCCGCTAAAGACGACGTAGACGCTCCGAGCCAGGCGTGCGAGGACTCCAACAGCTTAGCCTGCAACACACGAGAGGCGAAGGGGACTTAGGACAAACCGGCTAGGAAAAAAACAAAAACAAATTGTGAACGAAACGACACAATGCGATGACGAACAAAAGACATGAATAATAAACACAAAATTCTAATTGCCTCCCTCGGCTCCCCCTTACTCTCTACACCCTTTCACTCCCCCCCCCCCCTCCCCCGCGCTGTCTCTCTCGCCTCTCTCTATGGTGCGGCAAGGAGCGTCCGGCATGACAATAACATGTGTTTCACAAGACGACGAGTGTCAGGCATTGTGGGGAGAGGAAGTGCTTCCACATTAATATCCAGCGCTGAGTGCATGCATACTATCGAGGATCAGCAGTCCGCGGCAATGGCGTGGCGCTCCAGGCGATCACCAGTGGCGTGGCTAGCAGGGCGAAGTGAGAGGAGAGGAAAGGAGGGGAGGGGGG